ACAAATTATAAATCATAGCTAATAGAACCTTATACCTATGAAATAGTGAGCGTAGGTAAAAAAAAGCGTAGCTAAATGGCAAAAATGCTGTAGTGATTATAGTTTCTTAGTAATCAATCTCGGCAACCAAACAAATTCAAAGCATTTTCTTAGCATCCAAACACCCAAATTCAAAACATTTTCTCAGCATCCAAACACCCAAACTATACCATTTTCCAACCAAACAAATGAAAACCACTAAGAATTGCTTCTTTGCCCAACTGCTTCTGTTCTTTCCATTTCCATTTTGAACATATAACAAACATATAATGTCTTGGATAATCTCTTCGCAAACCAACATATAACAAAAAAAAAAAAAAAACAAAAAAGTGGAGCTGGGTTCGACAGAACCCAACTCGAACCCAGTCATTGAACCTAAGCTGGGTTCGGTGGAACCCAGTTGCTGGGTTCCTCGAACCCAGTTGATCTGGGTTCACCGAACCCAGCAGATATAGAGGAAGAAGAGGAAGAAAGAAGAGGAAGAAAGAAAAAGAAAAAGAAGAAAGGAAGAAGATGATCGAAAGAGGGGAAGAAGATTGTAATATCCCAAATTTTCGGGAATTTTATCATATAAGTTAGGGACTAACTTGTGTGGAAAGATTGTTTTGGGGCCTAATGTGAATATTCTGAAAGTTGAGTGATTTAAAAAGGGGAAAATATTGGATAAGGATCAGCCTCTTTTCTTTCTCTTTTTTCTTTCTTTCTTTCTTCTTCCCCGCGTGCTTCGGCTCTTCCCGACCTTGCTACAGCCACCCGAAAGAAAAAAAAAAGGGAAACCCAGCCATGCCTTGAGGAAACCGGTAGAAAGCTTGATTTTTCCCTTCTTTTCTTGTCCAAGAACTTGATTTGGAACCTAGAAATCTCCCCCCTGCAGGAAGCTTCCGGATCTGCTCTGCTCTTCCCTCTGCTATCTGTCGGCTTCAGCTTGTGGGTGCGAAATTCTGGGCCTTTTGGGTAAGAAACAACCATTAAATCCCTTTGTTTTAGCCTTAAATTAGCTTGGGTTCATGTTAAATATGTTGTTTCTCCAGAATTTTGATAGATTTCCCGTGAGCCCGTGAGCTTTCTTTTTCCATGCCGCCGGCCTTCCCCCAATCTGCAGCTCCGGTTTTAGCTGGAGAATTATGGTATGTGACAGCCATTTAAGCTTGAAATTATCCATGTAGTTTGCTGGCTGTGTTGTCCGAATTTGATAGAAAATTAGGGGATAATTCTAGTAGCTTTAGGATAAAGTTTAAACATTAATTCAAGTGGGATTTATGTGATTGAGTGTTAATTGCTTGCTGTGAATTTTTGGAGAGAAATCCCGTGAATTAGCCATGGTTTTGCCAATTTTGGAAGTGTAGTTACTGTTCATGGCACTGTTCACAGATTACAGTTCACGCACCGAGGGTCGACAATTACCGGGGATTTAAATGATTAGTTTGTGATATAAGAACGAATTTAGAGATATTTGATAATGTGGAGATTGATAGGAATAGCATCGTGATTAGGGATAGTACTAATGAAGTTTCACTTTGAATTTGTGATAGTATAGAATTAATTCTTGGATATGTTGATTAGGTTGCTGATCGTTCTGCCAGTTTAACACTGAGATTAAGTCTTCAATTTTATGCAAGTGAGGTAAGTAAATTTATGGTAATGCCCATACAATTTTTAAAAGCATGTTTTGACTTGTTTTTGAAGTGGTGGCGGGACCAAACCCGTTTTATACGAGCATGACTGATTTGAAGTGAAGTTTTTACGCTTTTCATTAAATTGAGCATGCCTACTTGAAATTTAATTGATTTTCCCGATGATCTGAAAGTGATTGATGAATTATGGTTTTTCTGTTAAAATCTTGCCTGATTTTGTCTCCGATATGGTCATGTATTCGTGTGCCCGCTAGTGGGAGGTTTATAAAAGCTAGCACATGTCGACATGTTATTGATAGAATCGGTTCGTTTCTGTTATCCTGCTAGTGGGATTATACACTAGTAAATCGTGTGCCTGTCAGTGGAAGGTTTATAACACTGGCTGTGACCTATAGAGGAGACGTCTATTTCATTCTCATACTATATCCGTTTTTTGTGATTACACTTGTTGGCATGCTATAAGTTTAATAAGAGGCACTCCATATTTTACTTATTGGGTTTATCTCATAGTTTTTCCTTGTCCACCATTTTAGGAAGTGAAACCGAGGATGGAGAAACGGGAAGTGACGAGTTAGAAGGCTAGCCATATTGTAATTGGATATGAAATTTTAGAAATAAATCATGATATTGTATTTGGAGATTTTAATTGGAGATTTATGATATTAGAGCAAATTATAAAATTTGATCTTCAGATTTTGTGGATTGTCAGATGTGAATTTGATAAGTTCCGAACCTTGTGCATTTGTGGGATTCTCTTACGAGTGCACGGCGTCTGCCACGTCCCCGGATTTAGGTTTTGGGACGTGACAAAGATGGATAAAAAAAGGGAGATGGGTAAATTTGTAATTTTTTATTTTTTTATTAAGTCAAAATTGGTTGATGAGTTAGTGGTGAGTTGGCACTAACGTGGCTTAAAAAAAATTTCCAAATCAACGTTTTGTAAAATTATTTTTGCCACGTCATAAAAAAAAACTATAAAAAATACTACATGAGCGAGTTAACGGCTCGAATTAACAGAAGGACTAACGGAGTGCATTTCATATAGTTAAGAGATCAAAAAAGTGTAAAAAATTGTTGAGGGACTAAAAATGTGCAACTCACTAAAGTTGAAGGATCAAATTTAGCATTTAACCTTTTGATAAATGCACGTTGAAGGTATTAATAGGTGCTTATATCAAGGTGGGTCTTCATGACATGGAAACTACCTGAGTCCAAGTGTGACCTTTTACAAAAACATCCATCAACAATTTCCAACACTTGTTCTTAGTTTATTCACTCTCTAGTACTTTAATTTAATTTTTCTTGATACTTGTTTGCCATAACCAAAGTCCTTGATGTGCTTTTAAAGCAAGTTTGAGCTCACTAAGCAAGAACTAATCTCTTATTTCTATCAATCATCTAATTTAGGTGCATTTCATTTTAAATGACATTCTTTTAACAACCTTTTTCACAACAAAAAATCATGCGTATGGAAAGGGTCATCAAGGAATCTTTTCTTGCTTTTCTTGCATAAGTAGGTGGCATGCATTCTATTCCAATTTCTACCATGAGGTGTGGTTAACAAGATTCTAAGGGTAATAAATACTGTCAAAAATTTTATTATATAGTGGGCCTATTAGACTTGTCATCTTGTTTAGTGAAGACTTGATTTCAAGTTTTATACAAATAAAAATACTCTAACCAAATTCACTATAAATTGCATGTCTGTATAATAACTTTTTTTAATAATTAAAATGTTAAACTAAAAAATGATAAGCAAAACTCTCTCTCTCCCCACCCCCTTCTCTCATGTCTCTTACTACTTAATCATCATTATGAGTATGTTTTGCTTAATTTTGACTTATTGACCTTTCAACTGAACATTTTGAATTGATTAACAATTAATGGCTTAAAAGTTTTAAATACTCTTTAGTATAGTTGTGATTTCAAATTTTTAGTTTTAATTTTTAAAATTTTAAAAATCCTAAAATAAAATTAAGTAATTCTAAAAATTAATTAAATTTGGAGTTTTGAATATTTATTTTAAAATTTTATATCCAATAAGTTGACAATTTTAATTTTTACTTGTTAATTTTTATTGTTTAAATTTTGAAAACCAAAACCAAAAACTTAAAACCACAATCATACTAAACAGAGTCTTAGTTAACTATTATGGTTTAAGTTTTGGATTTTTATATATTTAATAACTATTACTATATTTAAAAATAAAATTGATTATAAAAATTTAAATGTATTAAATTTAATTTAAATATAATACTAGTTACTAAATATATAAAAAATAAAAACCAACAAAAACCATAATCATATTAAATAGAGCATAATTAAATTGATTATTGATTAAGAGTTTACAATTTTTAGTTAACTAAGCTCTCTTTAGTATGAATATGGTTTTGAGTTTTTAATTTTGATTTTCAAAATTCAAACAATCAAAGTTAAGAATTAAAAATTAAAATTATCAACTTATTAGGTATAAAATTTTAAGACAAATACCCCAGACTCCACCTAGGGGCAATTCAACTAGTTAAAAATCTAAGATTTCAAGTTGGAAATTTTAGGTTCGAGTCTTGAATCAACTGGGAAGGGATTTGGAAAAAAGAAATGACTATCTTTTTTTGTATAGCTCATTATCATATATGTTAAACAAAATCTAAAATTTCAAACTTAATTAATTTATGAAAAAAATGAATATTAGTTTTGACTGATATTTTGATTGTTAAAAAAAATTAGAATTCCAATCTTAAATGATGTTATTTTATTTTATTAAAATTCAATTTAAAACTCAAAAATCTATTGTATTAGATGTTGATACCCAAATTTAGAAACTAATTATATATTGTAATGTAATTAATTTTCAAATCTATATATCAATATTTTTAATAAGGTGGACTTCTAAATTTTGAATTGAGTTTTCAGTTTCTAAATATAAGAATCAACATTTAGTAAGGTGAATTTATGAATTTTAAATAAAATTTTAATTAAATGAAATGATTGTCATTTTAGGTTGTGACTCTAATTTCTTTTGGGAATTGGGATTGATATTGTCATAATTCAAAACTCTTGAATTAAAATTTTTATTTTTATTTTAGTTTTTATCTTAATTAATATGTTTGGTTTTTACTTTCATTGTTAGGTTTGCAAGCAAAAGGAAATTTCACGAAAAAATAGTGGGAGAAGAAAAAAGAAAGGACTCAATTGAAGAAATCAAAAGTTGGGGGATGAAATCCTTTAAGCTATAAATCTAGCCCATTTCTCAAACCCATCTCAAATGGTCTAACCCCATAAAAATCAGCCCGAACCCAACCAAAACCCACTAAATTATCCAAACCCAAAACTCAAAACCCAAATACCAAACCCAAGAAATAAAGAGGGAAGGTATCTCGAACCTTCTCTTTCCTCATCAATCTTTTCTCTTTCCCGAACCAGCTTCCTCCCCAAACCAACCAGCAGCTACGATCACCAGCCATCATCGGCACATCATCGGCAATCATACCCTTCTACACCCTACACCCCCTTGTTGCCGCACCCCTCTGCTCTCCCCTACTGCTGTACCAAGCCTGTGCCCTTGTTGCTGTGCTAAGCCCAGATCCCTAGCCCTGCACTCCTACGCCTCTTACACCCCCCCTCTTCTGCACCGCGCCTTACCCTCTGCACGCCTGAGCCCCACTTCTGGCAATCATACCCCCTGCTGCTGCACCGAGCCTACGCCCCTGCACTCTACGCCCCCAACCCTGCGCCCCCAACCCTGCGCCTCTACACTCCTGCTTGCTACAGCCCTATCCTTGCCTCACCTGCAGAAAAGACAGCGTATACCAAACAAATCGGCATCCTCAAAAGAAGTTTTATTTTATTTTTATTTTATTTTATTATTTGGGTATATATATAGAGAAAAAAAATCAGATTGAGGGGGATTTTTTCTTTTGGTTGATTTTGGGGTTCTTTGGTTTGAATTTGGGTATTGCCAGAGGTGGCAGTAAGAGGAAGAGGATCTTGAATTTCTAGAGCTCACTGAAGGAGATTGTGCATTTCCTAAGTTTTTTTGGTCTTAGGTAAAAAAATTTCTAAAACAAAGGATTTTTTTAGCGAAAAATGGTGAAGGAAATGATGGAAGCTTGATCTTGTGGGCGTAATTCCTTCCATCGGATCTAGATCCGTTTTCCTCTTAGAAATCCGCCGTCCTTGTTTATCCTTTTTTTTTTTTTCCTTTCTGTTGGTGATTTGGTTCTTTTATTAAGGATGTTAAGCTTGCATATGCTTATTTGGAAATGAATGAGAATCGTAGTTTAACTAAGATATTGTGTTTGATGAATTTACTCTTTCATCGCGGTTGGCGAATATGATTTTTTTATGATAGATGTCACGCCCTACAACCCAAATCTGAGAATGTGGGAATGCGACAAACGGCGTACACTTGTGAGAAGGTTTCATAATCTGATACTTCAAAATTTAAAGATAAAATTATAATATTTGCTCTAATATCAAAAATCTTCGAACTTACAAGATCACGATTTATATTTAAAATATATATTTAATTTACAAGATGATTAGCCTTTTAACTTGTCACTCCTTTTGTTTTTCTCGTCCTTGACTTTGCTTCTTGAAATGGTGAATAAGAAAAAACAATGAGATAACTCAGTAAGTAAATATGGATAGTCCTTAATTAAACTTATAACATGCCAACAAGTGTAATCAGAAAAAACAGATACAGTACGAGAATGAAATAGACGTCTCTTCTATAGGTAATGGTCAGTGTTATAAATCTCCCACTAGCAGACACAATTTACTAGTGTATAATCCCACTAGCAGGATTACAGAAATACCAGTGTTTAACAACTCCCATTGACAAGAGGAGCCGGCTCTACAAAAATACATGTCGATATGTGCTAACGTTTATAAACCTCCCACTAACAGACACATGAATAACATGACCATATTAGAGACAAAACCAGGCAGAAGTTAACAAAAAAATCATAATTCACAAATAATTTTCAGATCATCAGGACAGTTAAGAAAACTCCATTAAAGCATGCTCAAATCAATAAAAAAATAATAATTTCATTTCAAATTGATCATACTTGTGTAAAACGGGTTTAGTCCAACCACCACTTCAAAACAAGCTAAAATGTGCTTTAAAATGGGAAGGCGTTATCATAATTTACTTATCTCAAATCGCATAAAACCGAGGACTCAATCCAAGTGCTCTAAGTCATAACAGCACCTAATATTCCAAATAAATACATTCAGACCTTACTAGAATTATTAGCACAACCTTGCAAATTTACTAACCAATGAGCTTCACAAAAAATTCAACCATAGTATAACTCACTTTTATTCAAAACCGTATATCTACCCAAAGTCCAAATATTTTTAAATAAAATCATAATATCCAAAAATCTCTTAAACAAGAGGTTTTAGAGCCAAATTTCACCAATTTGGTTTCCCAATCCCACGGACACAAAATGGGAAAACCCAGCTTTTATTCCAATTATTGATTTAATTATACACAACACATATATACCAAATTTTCCAAATTCATATACAGAAAAGGGAGAACCCGAACTTTGGCAAAACAATAGCAAATCACGGGGTTTTCTCCAAAAATCACAGCAGCCAAAATAAGCTAATTTTCTACATGAATTAAACTTAAAACATGTTCAAAGGCTGCCGGAATTTATCCCTTTTTCAACAGAAAATTCGGACAACACAAGGGGTAGCAGTAAGTGGATTAAACTTCAACAAGCAACAAGTAAATGGGTAATTTGGGACTTAAATGGAGCTATCACATACCAGGAATTTTCAGCAAGCAAACCAGAGCTGGCGGGTTTGAGGGAGCCGACGGGAATTGGAGGGGAAGCTCACGGGGCTACCAAAATTTGAAGAAACAACAGATTTAAAATGAACCCAAGCTAAATCAAGCTGGAAAGATGAAGTTCATGACTGTGGCTTACCGGAAAAAGCCCAGAAATTCGCATCATAAGCTGCAGCTCGCGGACAGGGGAGGGGGAGAAACCGAGCAGATCTGGAAAATTTTCCTGAAAGGGGAAGATTTCTAAGTCCTAAGTTGGTTCTTGAACAAGAAAGGAGGGAAAATCATCAAGCTTTACCGGTTTCTTTTTGCAAGGGGGGGCGTCAGTGGCTGGGCTTCCTTGTTCGGTGCAGGGGAGAAGAAGAAGAGCAGAACACACAGGCTAAAGAAGAAAGAAGGCAAAACCATAAGTTAAGCCCCTGAACCGACCCCAGAATCGCAATTAAGCCTCCAGACTTTAATTGAAGCAGATAAGCCCCTGAACTCTGCGATCGGTGCAATTTTAGCCCTTCTTCTTACGGCCAACTTAACTGCCGTTAGGACCTCGCTTGCGTGGCAACATTTTGCAATGTCATGCCTATGTGGCAAGTGATTTAGCATTGACATTTAATTTAGTGCATTTCACACAGCATTATTAAAAAAAAAGTTTAATAAACAAATAACAGTTGTTGACTTACTTGATCATTTAATTTGAAAGGACAAGATAATTTGTTATGTCCTCCTTGCTTACAATTATAGCAAGTCATGACTCGTCCTTTCCTTGAGAGTATAACTGCCTTAGACACTTTTTTGGGCTCATCTTTGGACTTTCTCCTATTTTTCTTTGGCCTTCAAGGCCTTTTTCTAACCAGGGGTGGATTCAAAGGCTCACCATGAAATTTTTGCCATGACTTATCCCCACACATTCCCTTTATAGGGAAGCCATAAGCTAGGGCATACTTCTCTTTCTTGTACCAATCAGCAACAAAGTCTTCAGGTACCAAATTTTCATGGTACATACAACATACAGCATGTGGACAAGGTATGCCATTCATTTGCCAAGTTCTACAAG